CACAGCGCGCGAGTCTTCAGGATGGCGTGCCTTCCAGGACAATGCTTCTTCAACGATTCCAGCGCGGCCCGTGCCATGTGCGCTATCGCACCATCCTGCTTTAGTCGCCAGTGGTCCTGATCGGTCCAGTGAAGTCGTCCCACGGCACCCTGGACAGGGCTTCCCAGGGCGGAAGTGATACTATGCTCCGGGGTGGTGTTGACAGTGCTTCGTCCCTCTCGTCTTCCAATAAGCATATTCAGTGCGGTCACGATTTCGCGAATGTGAGGTCACCGCTTGCTATCACTGTTTATGATCATGTTTTGCCACTGAATGGGCGTTCAAGTGCCACCACCGTCTGGATTGTGCGATACATATACTTGTCACGGTTGAATAAAACGCGGGCTAACTTTTGGCTGTGTCACCCTGTACCCGTTTTCCCTTTGTTTACCTGCATACCTTTTTAACATATCTACATCTTACCACGACATTGGTGGGATGCTGATGTAGCACGTCAAGGCAAGCATATTGTTGGCTATTCTACGAAAGCTCCCGAAGGGCTGGACAGAGAATTGCAGGAGAGTCCAAATCTACTCTTTGATGCGCATATACCGCTTCGTTTCTAGACAGTTCAGACAGTTCAGACAGACAGTTCAGACATCAGACAGTTCAGACAGTTTGGACAGTTGCTAGAGTGCAACTGTTCTCCGCGAAGGAGCTAATGGCAACCAGGATAAAGACAAGTGTGTTTTTTACGAAAGAACATATGGGAGCATAACACACGGGAGCACATGGGAGCATTTGCTCAAGGCCGACATTTTTGCAAAAGGACTGTAAGGAGGGAGGATCCGATTCTGACCGTTCGAGAAGTATGGATATCAGGATGCGAGGCAGGGACGAAGTCAATGGAAAGGGCCAAGTGATAGTGCCCCTCCCCCCAAACCCCCGGAGCCCAGAGGCTTACACCAGATGCTGGGCGATTTCGCATACATTTGGTCCAAGTTCGCAGGATTTCGCAGGCAATTTGTATTTTGCCCCGTTTCCGATGGGAGAACTTTGTCCGTGTGCCTGATCCGAGGACATTCGGAATCGGAATCCTGGTCATGACTTTCGCGACAAAAAAAAATCGAGAAAGGCAGGGTACAGGGTCTGTTGCATGAATAAACCAACAGGAAATGGACTCCAGTATAGTTTAAAAAAAACAAACCAGTCTGAACTAAGATCCAATGTTTGAATTTTGCGAATGGACGGCGCAAATCAGAGACCAACATCAGAAGCCAGGCAGCATGGCTGGTGCTGCCTCAGCGGAAGCTACACGGCATACGACGAAATCAGCACCCGCTCCAACATGTGCTGTAGCACGTCGCCGGACAGACGAATGAAGCGAAGACGATTCAGAAGAACAGAAGGTGAAGCAAGACGATTCTTAGCTCCAGTTTAACAAGACATCACGAGGCGGCCTGTGTTCAGGTGCGATCAGCTGGGTCACATTGTCGGCCGTCGATGACATTGTCGGGGAAATGAACACCACCGGCTGCAGTCAACAACATGAGAGAGGATCCATACCGCAGTTAGATTGACCCATTGGGTTTCCCACAGTCCTGATCAGAAGCAGCATGCTTGGGATCGGGCTCGGTGGCTTGCAGCTGTCGCGGTGGCTTAAAGCCGAACGTTTCCGCTTTTCCAATGGATAATTGTATCCGGACCGTCAAATTTATAAATTTCATATATTTAAAGTGACTCGTTAACTATCTCGTCAGTGACACGTTCCCCGCTCTGGTCCGAGCGTACACTGTGAAGTCCCGCCTGGCGTCGGTGGCGCTGTGGCGATCTGCCTGTGGTGAGCCTCGCTGCAGGGGATGGCACTCGGATGGTGCGGGTCCTGCCAACTTGGGACGTTGTGTAAACCACGAACCACGGGGCTGGCTGCTGTCGCACTCAGATGGTGCGGGTCCTGCCAGCTTGAGGTGCTGTATGAACCATGAACCACGGGGCTGGCTGCTGCCCGTTTGATTAGGTGGCGCTGGCAGGCCTCTAAAGCTGTAGCACATCTTCTCGGAAGGAGGATGTCCACAGTGTTCGCTATCGGTTGACGCTGTGCCCAGACGAGCTCGGGCGAGCCATCCCTCGTGTTGAGAGCGAGGCCGACTGTGCGCAGCGTTGTTAGCTTAGTTCACAGAACGGCATCGCAGTACGGAGGCACAATAACACCTGGGCAGTGGAAGGCTTCTTAACACGTTAAGTGTGCGTGTTAGCGTGGAGGGGGGGGGGGGTAGGAGGCGCACGTAATCAGTCCCCCCACTGATCAGACATTTCCCCTTTTATGCTTACAATCATTCTAGCCCCATTTTGCTCTTGTTATGCCAACATTATATGCTGTAGGTAATTCGCCCCGTCTTTTGTTTGATGTGAACACAAATCGTAAGTATAAAGTGCTCTCAATCCGAGGAGAAATATAAATTTTGGAGTAAGTTCCAGGTGAGTCCATATTTGCTATCGGTCATGCCGTCGGGTGGCTCCGACTCAAATTTCCTTAGAAAGGGGCCTGCGCGCGACCTAAACATTATTACCTCATTTTCAAGTCAAGTATTACGGAAGCACCCGTTTTTTAGAACAAGATAAATTACAAAAAAACACCAAAACAGCTTTCTAAGCTCGATAATGCGCAGCTCTTTTTCTGAAAAGCAGCTAAATGCCATGCTAAACGTTTTGAACGTCATGACATTAATGCGCGCTTTTTTTTGTCCGCCGGGCAAACGTGCTCAACTGACTACTAATAAAATCGGACTACTCGTGCTCAGCTGATTGCTAATAAAATCGAGGAATGAGAGTGCAGCTGCGATGGAACCAAGGCCAGCGGGATCTCAACACCTCTGTCTGCTTGTTTTCACCCCCGGCATTGACCGCCCATCGGCGATGTCGTCCCATTACATTTAGAAGCCGGACATCACAGCCATAACTTTTTTGTAGTCAGGCCATTGAAAACCATCGACCCGTGGGAGGGTTTTGGAAGATTATTCTTGAAGGGGCAACTCTCAACACATTACTCAACGCTTTTCATGATGCAATGGACATTTGATTTGCAACTGCTCATTCTTCAGGCGATTAATCATTGCTGCGCAAGACTTTAAGTTTGCATACTTCTGGATGGGCGCAAATTTCATGGGCTTTGTCTCCTATTCCATCAGAAATTAACACTACATCAATGGCTTCTTTCTTGTCAATCCTGCATATGTAAAAAGCTGGTGGAAACTTCCACGCAGAGGAATCGGTCCAGAATCCAAGTACCAAGTGTTCAAAGTGCCAGGTATTCACCATGTTCCTGTACTTACCAAATTCACTGTTCATGGGCCCCGATCGCTGGTCACAGTGCTCCATTGCACGTGGAGTGGACGCCGAACATCCAGTGCTATGGGTTCGGCGATTTCCGGTCCCTGAGCCATTGGTGGCGTTTAGCAGCACGGCCCTCAGCAGTTATTTAGGCGCGACGTGATCATGAATAATCTTTTCATTTGAATGCATGTCGGATTTTTCAGCGAATAACAACCGCAACTTACACAAGGGGACCATTTTAACCAGCTCCTCTGTCCTTATAGGCACAATGTATGGTTTGAGAAGTCGGTCTCTGCCGCCCACCCTGTGGCAGACCCGAGTGCATCAGCAGCCCGCTCTGTGACAGACCCGAATGCATCAGCAGCCCGCTCTGTGTTAATCGAAAGTACAACACAAAATACCGGAAAAGGTACGGCAAAGGTACGGCAGAAAGTGCGGCAGACGGCACGGCAAAAGGTACGACAGAAAGAACGTCAGAAAGCGGATCAGAAGGTGCGACAGAGAGTACGGCAGCCAGGATATGCGGCAGCAAGTTGTGTACCGGTGAAGTTAGACTCGGTGACTCGCACAAAGCACGCAGAAAGTGCAACGCTGCTCTTCCGGTAACAGCGTGAGTAATCTGGCACAATGGTATTGAAATTTACGCGCCATGGCATGCCGCTGGCGGCTAGTGATTGGGAATAACATTGGGTAAAGGACTGCGTTCGATGGTCACCGAAATGCCACCGACCAATGCAACCCGTAATGCGCCTTATTTCAAATATCGTCCGATTTGTATTAGCAAAGCAGACACCTTGTATGCATATGGCGTGGCATGCAGGGCTTTAATGCAGCGGCTATGGAATTAAGAGGAAGGGTAAGAGAGCAAGACTGAGCCATCGTGGGAGGTCTCCGCTGCCGGGTCTCACCCTGTGCAGGAGCGCTTCTTTGAGGTTTGTGCGAGTGCCCGGGTCTGGTCAGAGCGCCCGGGTTGGGTTCCGGCCAGAGCGGCCGGGCGGAAGCCCGGCCAGAGCGGTCGGGAGGGGGTCCGGCCAGAGCGGCTGGTTAGGAGTCCGGCCAGAGCGGCTGGTTAGGAGTCCGGCCAGAGCGGCCGTGAAGCTCCTCGGGCCCAACGGCGACACTATGCCCCAGCGACGCCCGGCTTTATGAGGATTAGAATGATGCAGTGCGAGAGGAAAGTGGACGGATGCCAGCGAGGCGTGCGCGGTATCAATGATGCTGCAACGGGCGACACTTCTTTAGAGGTTTCTCCGAGCTCGATCTGAAACTTTGGGGTCATCAGGATGCATACGAGATAGATAATGTGTGTATTGACTGGCTGACGTACATATACTCATTCCCACTGACGTGCTGTGCAATCGTAATGCAGGGATCTAGACAAAACAAAAACCCATCCGAAATTTTCAAAGCGCCGTCGGGCCGGGACATCTGCAGGCCGATGAAATGGTTCCATGCCCGTAGCAGTATCGACCGCAACGACTATTCAAGAAACATCAACGCCACCTATATGCCGTATTAAACATCACCAATTCCTGAAATGGGAAAAGTAATTTTGGCCACAAGTGGTAAGAAATGCTGCTACTATTGAAAAATATATTCCATTGTCAAATTTGGTAGTTCTTGAAGGAAGGTTAGATGGCGCAGATGGTGTGATTGCGGTGGCTTAACCACTGGCAAAGGAAAGGAGGTGGCACCGGGTTCGATGATTAGGACCTTGGAGTAACCCGCGTGTCCATAGATTTGTTAGTCGTATTTGACGTTTAAGACTTAATTAGTCATCTCTTTGTATCCAGAATTTTACCTCAGGTATCTAATAATGCACCATGATTGTATCGAACCGTTATCAACTTGAGGCATTGCACTTCTACTGCCTTTCAGGCGCATGTATCAAGCTCGTAGCCTTTGCATTGTCTTATTGTTGAATACAAGTTAGCGCCTTTTAGACAATTCATACTTATGTTAGGTCATGTAAGACAACTTGATGCAGTTGAACTGCCGATTTAAACATTGTTATCAAGCGATGGTGTCTCATATTGATTTGAGGTGAATACCTTTGTAGTCTATTGTTTTTTAGTTGCCTAGGGATTAGCTGCATATCATCACCCGAGATATGCGATTTTCATTACTTTGCATTTTTGGAAGACTCATGTTATTTTTAGCTGACATTTTGCAGTTTCAGCAACTGCATGCCAGCTTAAATCCTGCATGCTTGCAGAGTCATGTAGATGTCACATATTAATAGTGGTGCATCAGCTGCGGTATAAAAAATAACAGGAAGGTATATGTCTAACAAGTGTTTGCAATTGTTTTGGTTATTGAGGCTGGTCTGGCCACTGCCACAATGTCATACCACATTTTCTCCCCATGCTGATGAGTTCCTAGCCAATTAAGTGAATGTCATATTGATTCTGAAGGTGATTCTATCTGCACTTTGTGTTACATGTGTATTTGTGACTGGTTGAGTCATGCAGCTCAGATAGATACTGTTATAAGTATAATATAACCTTGTAATCCCAGAAAGTTTGCCATGATTTTGTGAAGGTGAAGCTCAGTTCAGTAAGTTGGAATGCCTGGTGCTTTCTAGCTGTCTGGATATGAATTTCCAGATGCATTGTCCAATGTCCAGATGAAATGCTAGTATTATCCATTATATCAGCCAGGAAATGCCAGTAGCCATGCATTAGGTGCAGGGAGGTGTGATAACATCCATAAAATATGGTGGTGTAGTAAGTACTTTTGTAAGCTTATGTATCCAAGAAACACTAGGAGATATTATCAAAATGCTCATTCTTTCTAGCAGTGCTACTGGTTGCCAGCAACAAACATCGATTTAGTAAATGTCCTGGAGCCTAAGGCCTGGCAAAGCAATGAGTTAGAAAACCCAAGGCATGTGACAGACAACACATATTCTAAGTCCAAGCAAACTTTTCAAATAAATGACATCAAAATAATCAATCACGCAAGCTCCAACATGTTAATGCCTGGTCTATGACACTGCTAAGGACTATGTGAAACAGGTAGCCAAACCAATAGGTCTGGATGACTCAGACTGAGTATAAAGGTAGAAATAAAGTCACCAAGGGCCTCAGCGCTGTCTTTCAAGCTCTGACATCCTAACACTGTATGCATGGAACCATGCTTAGAGCTGTACAAATTACATGCAGCTTAGGCAAAAAGTTTTGATGATCCATACTCAGCATGAGGTGAGAGACTGACATACTCAAATGCATCAGCTTCGAAGCCATGCACTAATTCACCATTTTTAAGTGTATACTACATAAAAAGGCTGCTTGAATCACATCTCAAGACAACATTTATGTTATCATGCATTTATCAACAGACATATCTGCAGCAATTCTGACCTCTTGGGGCCAACACAGCCTTCTGCTGTTGCCAAAAAAGTGTGCCAAAGGTTGGTGTTTGTTATACTGTGCTCTATTGCCCTGCATTTGTCTGTCATGTGTTGCCCCATTGTCATGCACCTTCTCTGTGAATGTGCATCCCCAGGTGTTTATTAAAGCAGTTCCAATGATGTAATGACAAGCATTGTAAGGAGCATACACCGTTGGAAGCAGAACCTTAACATTTTCACACAAAAGGCAACTGTTTTAAAAATTATGAAGCTTTGTGACCAAAATTCAAGCATCTTGCATTTAGTATTTCAGAGGTCATTCCTAAACCATCTAGGAGCCGTTCAGGCTCCCGCCATTTGGTGAAGTCGGTTTTGCTGCCATCTGTCGGAACCACGTGGTACTGACCAGCCGGTCGCCACCATTCTCCAGCGAAATATATACGCGCGGCCACAGCCGCCAGCCTCCAGTGCAGAGCACGTACGGCGGCGGCGGGACGGGGGAAGAGGAGGAGAGGGAGGGCAGCCAAGAGCTACCATCTCGGGAGGGGCGATGTCCGGGTCCTGCGTCAACAACGCGGGGCCAGCTGTGGCTTGCTGTGGGCAGGCCTTGGCTCACAGCGCACGCAGTGGACTGTCGTTGACGCGATTTCGGTCTTAACCTGACTGCGCAGATAATACATTCGCCACCTATTTCGATACCGAGCCTGTAGCCGCTGCACCCTTCGATGTTAAAGCCAGTGAATTCTGGTTTGGGACCCGATCGGGACCCGGCTTAGGTCGTCTGAGGGGACGCAGTCCCCGTCTCGTCCCCCGACTTTGAGCTCATCCGTGGCCAAGGTTCGTCAACGCGATATTTGCAACGGAATGGCTCTCAAGCAGAACACGCACTGAAAGTTATGTTGGTTCTCGTTCACTTATCCCCAGATATATGCCGAAGCATGGGCGTAAAGCACACTTCCACGCTCATTTGCTCAACGTCGTATGCATCCGACTGCTGACGGTGTCCTTGTTGTCGCTGTTGGAGTCCTTGTGTCCTTGTTGGAGCGGCCGGGGCGACGAGCGGCGGTCAGGGCACGCGCCTCCAGAGGCTCCCAGGCGCCGCCGCCCCTCTCCACCCCTGCCTTAGCCGGCGTCGGCTGCCCACGGCAAACTGTCGCCGACCGGTACGGGTCTCGATGGACGAGTGAGCTTCTCACAGGTCTGCGCGCTGCTCTGCGTTCGGCGTTCGCGTTGCGCGTCTGGACGTGTGATGTTACATGAGGCGTTCACGTCACAGGACAGCGGGCGTGCAGGGGGCCGCCCGCGCCGGGACGTGCTGAGCGGCTCGGCTGAGCAGCGCTCTTGATTGGCCCGCTCCGGCGCCCATGGGGCGCACGCCAGGCGACATGAGCGCCCCTACCGGCGTGGCGGACAAGCTGTGGTTCAAGTACATGCTGTCGTGCGGCGCTGCGACCTGCGCCGAGCTAGGTGGGTGCAGAGGCAGCGAGGGAGCTGACTCGCTTAGTCAGTGTGTGTGACTCGGTGTGCGGTGGTCGGCAGGGTACTCAGCTTGGGCCGGATCGTGGTTTACCACAGCTGCGTGGTGTTTTTTTGTTTTTGTTTTAGCCACGCAATGCCGTGGTTTTCGTGCCCTTTGTAGTTTTGGTTCAATTTTTTTCAGCTATTGTAGTTTGGTTCATTTCTTTACAGTTACGTATCCCTTGGATCTAACCAAGACACGTCTTCAAATCCAGGGCGAGGCTGCAGAAAAGAAGGTGAGGAACTCCAGGCCTGGCCGGTCCTAGGTCACTTAGCCTTGGCACAATACTTTGCACTTACCCACAGCCCTGCCAACGGTTGTTCATGAGGACAGACCATTCCAGGCGAAAGTCACTCGAAGGTACCCGGTTTGGTTCCCACCGCACGCAGTTTACCTGTTCCACCCGCTGGTGTGGCTGTTTCGGCGATGACAGAGCGGCTCCATGTGGCGGTCGGCCATACAGTGTTTATTTGTTATTTCTTGCTTCCCTTGCATTCTTATCTTTGTCTTGCAAACATTTCCGCGCACGGGAATATGTATTAGTGTCTCCGGCGAGAAACTTGTGAGCATCGCAAAGGCCTATGGCAGCATTATTTGCCAGTCTACCACTTTGCCTCCGTTCCTGACGTACGTTCGGGTATTCGGGTTTGTTCTGGGACGCTTTACCATTGTCATCGCCCTGCGCGTTTGGGCAATCCCCTTTGCGAAAAATTACTCGAGCCATGGCCCGTCGTGTTATGGAGAGGGATAGCTCTGCCGGTTGCGTGTCATTGTACTGTACAGATTTTTCCGCTGGCACTCAAACACCGCTGACAGTGGCACTCCACAACAGCTAAACCGTGCGAGCTGCGCCCACGAGCATGGTCACCGTTAATCCGGGCGGTATTCCAACACGACTCACTGTCCCGCAACGAGGGCCTGACCTCTGTCCATCCACCGACCCAGCTAACCCTGCTGACCCCTGCTGACCCCTGCTGACACCGCTGACTCCCGCAGATATCTGTTGACACCGCTCACCCCTGTTGATCCCTTTTGATCTCTGCTGACCCCTACTGACCCCTGCTGACACCGCTGACTCCTGCCGATCTCTGCTGACACCGCTGACCTTTATGGACCTCTGCTGACCCCCTTGACCCCTCCGACAGCCGGCGCCGTCCGGCCGACCGCCGCTATACCGGGGCTTCCTCCGCACGGCCGGCGGCGTCGTGCGCGAGGAGGGCGTACTGAGGCTGTGGCAGGGCGTCACGCCCGCCATCTACCGGCACCTCATCTACAGCGGCGTGAGGATGAACGGCTACGAGTGGCTACGTGACCGTGTCAGCCGGCCCGGCCAGCCGCTGCCCGTCTGGTGAGGGCCGTCTCACGTCGCGACCGGGCCCCGCCGCTCCGCCGCCGCTGTGTGGAAGGGCCGTGGCTGGCGTCGATCAGCGACGTGTGTGTGGCTGTAGCGGGTGCGGTGGCGTGCTTGGGGGTGAGGTTTTTGTCCGGGGTGTGGTGCTGACGTTGGCTACGAGGACCAGGTATCGTGCGCCTCTGCCACCGTACCGTCTCACCGCACGGTGACCATCAGCTACACCTGTGTGCGCGGCGTAGAACTGTTGTAGCCTGTCTTTATGATCACGCCGAGTCATCACCGCAGCTTGGTATGTTGAGATTTGTGAATCCAGCCGATGCTCGCTCCATAGTGTTGTTTAGCGAGCTCTTCCTCTTGTACTGAAAGTCAATGGAAATTATCAATGGAAAAAAACGTTGTCAATGGAAGCACAGCTCACGACGGAAGCCGTGGCTGTGGCCGATCCTGGCCGCCGGGTGGCGCGCCTCAGCAGGGCCGCCGGTGCGGCGCGGCGCCGCGTCCCCTCCCCGCCCGCGCCGGTGTACAGCGGCGGCCCGGCTGGCCGGCAGGCAGGCGGCGCTGGCCGGACTCGCCGCCGGCGGACTGGGCCAGCTGCTCGCCTCGCCCGCCGACCTGGTCAAGGTGCAGATGCAGACGGAGGGCCGCCGACGACTGCTCGGTCTCCAGCCCCGGTGAGGCCCGGAGCCCGGAGCCCCGAGGCCCTGGAGGTCCCCGAGGCCCGGAGGCCCGTAGAGCGGGCGGGGGCGGAGCATCTCCCGCGGGAACGCTGCGCCCAGGTGGGAGGCCGGCTCAGCAGACTGCAGGAACGCGGGCCCAGATAAGACGGGGATGCAGATAGAGACGAGGCAGCTGAGGGGACGGGCCAGCCCCGGTGGGGAATAGCAAGGAAAGGGGGGGAGGGGTAGTAAAGACTTGAGCCCGAGTGAGGGAGCGGGAGGCAAGTTGATAAGAGAGCCGATTGGGCAGGGTAGACCCGGGTGAGGGGTCGGCGCCGGTTCTGCGGCAGCAGTAACTCGAGCACAGCTGGGCCGTGTGACTCTCGCCCGGCATATTGCGCGGTGTCCGCTTTTCTTTTTCTTCACGCAAGCTGGACACTCGTGCCCCCCCCCCCCCCCCCCCCACCGCCGTTGCGTGTCTGCGTCACAATGACCGAACAGTGACGCCGCCCCCGCCGCCGGGCGGCGCAGGGCGCGCCTCCAGCAGAAGTGACAGCCGCCCGCGGGTCCGCAGGGTGAAGAACGCGGCGCACGCCTTCCGCCAGATTGTGCGCCGCGGCGGCGTGCGCGCCCTCTGGAAGGGCTGCGTGCCCAACGTGCAGCGCTCGGCGCTGGTGAACCTGGGCGACCTCACCACCTACGACTCGGTCAAGGCTCGCCTGGTGCGCGGCACGGCGCTGGGTGACGGCCCCGTCACGCACTTTCTGGCCAGGTGAGCGGCGCGCCATCGGCGGGGCTGGCACCGACCTCGACGACTGCGGCGGCGTGGTGGTCCCGGTCAAGCGGGAAGCACCGGCGCCGTGCGGTTTCGGCGTTTGCGGATGGACGGAGCCGCGGCGCCGGCCTGGTTGGTGCGGGCGTGGTCGGTTGTGCGGAGCGCTGGTGGTGTGAGGTGCTGACATGTGTGACCCGCGTCTGGTGGTCTGATCCGGCGTTCCGTGCTGACCACCGGCCGTGCGACCTCTTCTGACCCTGACCTCGTCCGTCTGATAGCTGCTGACCCTGACCCCGGCCGCCTGATCTCTGCCGACCCTGACCTCGTCCGTCTGACAGCTACCGACCCTGATCCCATCCGTCTGACCTCTGCCGACCGGGAACTCTGTCTGTCTGACCTCTGCCGACCCTGACGTCGTCCATCTGACCTCTGCCGACCCTGAACCCGTCCGTCTGGGCTCTGCCGACCCTGACTTCATCCATCTGACCTCGACCCTGACCCGGCCTGACCCCGCTCGCCGACAGCGTGGCCTCGGGCCTGGTGTCGGCCACCCTGGGCACGCCCGCCGATGTGGTCAAGACGCGCGTCATGAACCAGCCCACCGACAGCCGCGGCAGGTCAGACGTCCACTCGGCTTGACCCGGACCCGGCCCCGGTCGGCTGCCGGGCTCAGGGCAGCTGTGCAGCAATGTGGCGACCGGACGTCATGGTTTCTGTTCGGTCGTCTGTTTTAAGTTGGGTTGATAGAAAGATAGGTAGATGAATAGATAGGTAAATATATAGGTATATAGATACGTGGAAGATAGAGGTAAATATATAGATATATAGATACGTGGAAGATAGATTGAAATGAAGACAGGGCATGCTGATAAATGATAGTAAACCCATTAACTACTTGCGTGGAACTCGGGCACCCAACAGGCCAACGTCCCCGCTCGCCTGTGCTGCCGTCGGTGACGAAGGCGGGCCGGCCGACCGACTGTTTCTCCGATCCGCCGCCAGGGGCACGCTGTACCGCAACTCTGTCGACTGTTTCGTGCGGCTGGTGCGGGAGGAGGGCCTGCTGGCCATGTACAAGGGCTTCGTACCCTGCTGGATGCGCATGGCGCCGTGGAGTCTCACCTTCTGGTTCACGTACGAGAACCTGCGCCGCGTGTGCGGCACGGGCACGTTCTAGCGGCGGCCAACGCGCGAGGCGCCCAGGTACGCCCCCCCCCCCCCCCTCCCTCCCCTCTTGCCAGCCGACTCGGACGCCTGGGTGGCGGCAGCCGCACGGGCTTGTTGTGAGGGAAGGGGTCACGTAATGGTGCTGTTGAGCTGGGGCGGGATGTTGGTTGGGTGAGTCGGGGTGGCCTGGGCGTGGCGGAGTGTTGTTTGGGTAAATGGGGGTGGCCTGGGCGGGGGCAGTGTTATTTGGGTAAGGCGGGGTGGCCTGGGCGGGACAGTGTTGTTTGGGTAAGTCGGGGTGGCCTGGGCTGCGGTTTGGATGTGCTGGCTTTGAGGCACGGATTAGAGGCGCAGTGTGCGCGGCAGGAGGATGGAAGTTTCTCACTGGCCCCTCTTCTGATTGTTTTCCTCTCTTGCAGATGGTCCCGTAACGCGTACACGCAGCTGTTGAGTCTTTTCAGCATAAATGCACGTGCGTTGCTCATACAGTATACGTCGCCACATTAGTGCAGGTGCAGTGATGTGGAGGCGCCAGCGGTGCAGTGATGTGGAAGCGCCAGCGATGCAGTGATGTGGAAGCGCCAGTGGTGCAGTGATGTGGAAGCGTCAGCGATGCGGTAACCGGAGTGGTGCCGGGTGTCCTGGCACCGTATGTGGCGCCAAGCGGTGTGGAAGCACTGGTGATCAGTTGGGATACACGAGGCGCGCAGGAGCCAGAGCAGACGCGCTGGCGTTGGGACGAGCACTACACTGGAGAGCACTGTGCACTGTCTTTTCTCAGGGCAGACTGAACCAAGTGCCATGCTACATCAAGACGTTTGTGCAATGCATAGACACCCACCGTGCCGTAACAATGCAACTACAAACTACACCCCTGCAGTCGCTCCTCCTCAGGCGTAACAGAGGCATCATTTTAGGGGCGCTATTGCGTTCTTGGCTCGGGGACCAGCGCAGTTCAAACGCGATGGTGATGTCCGTCCTCCGCGCCGGGCGCGCTCGCGCCAACACGGGCTCGGCAGGAGGCGTGACGAGGAAGAGCCGCCGGCGCCACGCCTTGGTCGCGCAGCCAGCAGGGGTCTGTGGCGACTCCGGGGGCTCGCGGGGCCCGACGTGCCTCGCGGCTGGCGGACTCGGTCCTGGTCGCGCGGGTTGTTGCTTGGGTCGCGGGTGGCATGGGCCCGTCGCGCCCAGCAGTTTATGCCGAGCAGTGGCGCGTCGTCGTTTGCTCTGTTGTCGGTCGGGTTCTCGAGGCGGTGGGTAGATAATGCGATGTGGTAGGTGTGGCTGGACCACTTGGTCGACTTGGCAAATGTACTACAATGTAGTAGAATGGGTAGTAGAATTGGTAGCCAATTGGGCTGCGCTCGTTCAGGTGTTATCTGCCTCAGTGCCATGTCTCGTCGGGCTCCGCCAGTGTCCGCGGTCGGGGGGGGGGGGGGGGGGGGGGAGGGGCAGTCGAACCAGCCCTCAGACACACTGACTGCTGTGGTCACACGTGCTGCGGCTGGAGGCTGCGGCACTGTGCCCTCCTTGTGCCATTCACGTTTTCTACGTGCGGTATTGTTTCAGTAGTGGACTGTTGCCACGTGTTCATGCAGTTATCAGAGGGATGAAGGTGGATGAGCTTTTCATATATAGAGAGAAACAGAGCTTTTTTGGACTCGCGTACGAACGCCATCACGAATTGGCTATTGCCGCTGACTCACGGCGACGCCTTAGACCCTGGTTCGGTGGTGCTGTGGAACGCCATAGGTGCCTGTTCGGCCGCGCTGGAGACGCTGGGTGCCTGTTCGGCCGCGCTGGAGACGCTCGGCGCCTGTTCGGCCGCGCTGGAGACCCTCGGTGCCTGTTCGGCCGCGCTGGAGACGCTCGGTGCCTGTTCGGCCGCGCTGGAGACGGCCGGTGCCTCCCGACTGGTCTGTGCGCATGCGTATACATTTGTGCAGTGTACCGTTGTGAAGCGTACAGGGGGCGGTGCTCCATTGGAAATGAACCCCCTACGCTGTTTGTTTATCGTGCGCCACGTTATTGGGCGCGGGGTGGGGGTCGTTCCACGAGCATCTATAATAAATACCACCGGTATCGGGTCCAATGCACCGTGTGCTGCGGTTTGTTTGGGCGGAGCTCGTTTTGGAGGCATGGGTGCACCTTTCCGTTCCTTTGAGGAGTGGCGGAGCTGCGGTTATCAAGGCTTTTTGGCTTAGTCTTCGATGTTTCGTGGGCCGTAGTAACATGTATCGAGCGCTTGGATGTAACAGCCTGACTGATCGATTATTTCGGCACCTTTTTGTGGACAGTTCGCAAACGACCTGAACATTCTCTGTCCTTATTCACCACACATTTTTGGAACTTTGACTTTCACTTAGCCCCGTTCATTTCCGACCATCATCATTACCTGAAAACTCCCAGCCCCGTCTCTTATAATAAATGTACACACGGTTGTTCGGCTTCCAGATCCAATCAGTTTTTTTATTTATTTATTTGCGTCGTCTGACCGGAACTTCCAGATACATCAAAGGTCGGTAGCTGCGGCTTTAAAGCTCGCTGTCGCTATAATACCGCCTTCCACGTCGTCGGAAGTATTTTCTAAAATTGGCTGATTCGGTCCTCGCTTGTCGAGAACATCGCGCACCGTTCACTGCGCGCCTGAGAGGTGTGCCCTTTCAGCTTTTGGTTTCGCCACGTTCGGCACTCATTGTTGTCAGGTGCCTGCGCGGTGCCTGTTTGGCCTGTGGTCCGTCCAACGGGCGCCGGTCCGGCTCGTCCGCTCCACACTATTGGCCGGCCGCTCCGTGACGTCACGCCCGATGACATCATCGGCTGCTTGGCACCGGCCGGCCGCTCCGTGACGTCACGCCCGATGACGTCATTGGCTGCTAGGCACCGATAGGCCGTGTTTCACCACGCTGGCGCCAGGTATTGCGCCACGGTGTGGCACGGCGGCCGGTATAACACGGCGGGGGCGGCGGCCGGTCGTCACAACACGCCCCCTTGCGCGGGTCGGCGGACAGGGTCCGACGGCCGCCGGCGCCGAGAGTCAGTGAGTTGACGCGAAACTCTGGCTGAGTCCGAGTCAAGCCCGGGAGACCAGGTGAGAGGCATGGCGGCCGACCCGGCGTCCGACCCGGCGTCCGACCCCGGCCTGCTGGGGCGTCTGCTGCGCCTGCTGAACCCCTGGGCGCCCGCCGAGGCGGAGGCAGCTCAGCAGGAGGCAGCGGAGTCAGACTCTGTCCAGCGGGAGTCAGCAGAGTCCGAGTCCGTTCATCAAGAGTCAGCAGAATCTGAGTCCGTTCATCAGGAGCGGCCGGAGTGCGGGCAGGACCAGAGTGCGCCATCGGACGGCTCTGACTGCGCAGAGGAGCCTGGCTGCGCAGAGGAACCAGCCGCCGTGAGCGGGCCGTCACCAGCAGGCACGGCGCGGCGCCCTCCCGCTGAGCCCCGGGCGCAGGACGCCCCGCCGGCCCCGCTGCGGGGCAAGGGCAAGAACCGCAGGGCCCGCGGGAAGGGCGCCGGGCGCGGCGGCGACAGGGCCGCCGCGGGGGAGCGGGCCCCCTCCAAGAAGCCGCCCATGCGGACGGCACGTGACGTCATCAGCCGGATACAGTGGGACCGGAATCTGCCCGAAGATTACTTCGATATCGGCTATCTGGACAGGTGAGGCTGGCGGTGTCGATTACTCTGTGGATTCATGGGTTTGCCTTGAGGGAATTCAGTGGATTTACGTGATACTCTTGTTGCGTTGTCTTCTTGTGGCATGTTCGACCATCGTATTGCCAGCCCTGAAACAACACGCATTTGTTTTGCCAGAGTCGGTGATCACGCTCCTCACTACGTGGTCTGACAGACTTGGCGTCGTGACGGACTTGACGCCACGTCATGCGTGAGTTCGCACTCCGTGCGCGCGTCTAACCTCCCTCGCGCGCGGCAGGTTCCTGGGCGTGGTGGAGAAGCCGTTCGGCTCCTTCACGTGGGGCGACCTGCCCTGGCAAGACTACGACGTGCTCGCCATCCCGCAGCACCGCATCCAGTACTTCAAGTACCGCGACGTCGTCGTGTGGGACAAGGCGCGCCGCTACGACGCCGTGTTCGGCAGCAGCGGCTCGGAGGAGGAGATCGAGGCGGCCATGACGCGCATCGACGCCGAGGTGGAGGCGGAGCGACAGCGCCGCGCCGAGGAGGCCGTCGTCGCCGACCCGTTCGCCGACGACGACGACGAGAGCGACGACGGCGAGGTGGCGGTGGCGTTCCAGGCGGCGGTGCCGGCCGGCGTCGCTGGTGTTCCCGAGGAGGCGCGCTCCACGCACTTCCTGGCCGTGCGCGTGACGTGCGCCGAGGTGCAGCGCGCCGTGGGTGAGGTGCAGGCGGCGGTGGTGGCGCACGAGCCCGAGCTGGCCGCCTGTGTGATGCGCCCCACGCTTCTGCACATTACCCTGTGCATGGTGCGGTTGGAGGACCAGCTAGCGGTGGCCGCCGCCGGCCGCTGCCTGCGCGCCGTCATCGACGACATGCGCGAGACGCTGCGCGCCGACGACGGCGCACTGCGCATGCGCGGGCTCAAGACGTTCGGCGCGCGCGTGTTGTACGCGCCGGTGGCGCCGTGCAGCGCCTTTTCGGCCGTGGCGGAGGAGCTGCGCCTGCGCCTGGCGCGTGTGCAGGGCGCACGACTCACCAACGCCTTCGACTACGTGCCTCACCTGACTGTGCTGAAGGTCTCCCGGCCGGTGGCGCGCGCGCGGCGCTCGCGCTTCATCGACCCGGCCGGGTACGCGGCGCACGAGCACACTGACTTCGGCATGCAGCGTTTCGACAACGTGCACCTGTGTGCCATCGACGCCGACTGCGCGCTGGATGGGTTTTACGTCACGGAGAGCTCGGTGACGTTCTGAGGCGGCCGCTGGCTTCCCGCTGGCGGTGGGCCGAGGCAGCTTTGGCGCCTGCGTGGCGAACTGTGGCGCGCCGATGACGGTGCGGAGGTGTGTTCTAGTCAATGTGGGTTTAACGCGCAGCACGCAGATGTGATAGAAAGCTCCGTGATAGCCCAAGGTCTTCTGCAACATCCGTTGCCGTACCGGACTTGCAAGAGAAAAGGCTCCCACGAGCCTGCTACGTCACGTGGTCCAGTCTGTTGGTGTAACTAGAACAGTTCGTGCATACAAAAATGCGTGAGGGATTTGTCTTTGCGTTGACTTTCTGACCTTTGAACAACTCACCCTGGCGTCCGGCAAATAACACATAAATCCAAACACTGATCTTTTTGCAGCCGATGTCCTGAACCATATGGACTCTTGAACCACAGAGCCACTCACATGTGGTACATTGAAAACTGCTTTTCAAAACTTATACTGTAAGTCCTCTTTGGGAGGATGTTGCAGGGGCGGATCCAGAGGGGTGAGGGGGGGGGGGGTGGAGCACGGAGCCATTCCCCGCCCTTATACCCCGTAAGGACCCCATAGTCTCCGAAGCCCATTACCGGCCAAACACAAGCAGTTTTTTACACAAAGCGCAACAAAATTGGACGTCTTTTGGCTACCAGGCGACGAAGAACAGTCGAAAGCTAAAGTAAAGGGTCCACGAGTAGACACAAATTATTTTTCACCGATTGAAACGGTGGTGCATGGGTGGTTTTGAGACTAATTACGCTGCCCAGAGTCCCTACTCTTTTTCTGGCGGCGGACCCTACATGTTAACTTGCACGATCAATTCGATCATTAAGGAGCCTTCTACGTTGCCCTTGCTTGCTTTGCATTTGCTCGGAGTGCCCTGCGCCGTTACTGGAGCCCCTCCTGCTGGCGTGCCGAGACATTTTTTCGATCTGGGGCCTTCCACTGATTCTTCCCATTCGTCCGAAAGGCTCCATGCGCTATGGCCTGGGGCCCATATGTTAACCTGTCGGGGTATTCTCGGTGGTTCAGGGGCCCTTTGCGTTCGTCTCGATAAAGCCCCTTCACATTGGTCTAGGACCCCTTCAGTTCTCTATCACTTGATCAGAGCCCTACGCTCTTGTCGGAGGCCTGTCTGTCAATCTGTTAACCCTAACCTGTACCTGTGTCTGTTAATCTGTTAACCAAGTTAACCTGCTCGGGCACACTCGGTCGTAAGGTGCCCTCCAAATTAACTTGCTCGGGCACACTAGATTGTTTGGGGGCCCTGCATATTAGGTTTTGGTGCCTGAATGTGGAGCCTTACGCTCCTTTCGGGGCCATATGATAGGCCTCCCCGGGTAGCTCGATCTTTAAGAGGCCATCCACACCGGGTTTTAGGTATTCTTATATAAATGGAGGGCCCACGCTCTTGTTGGGGGCCATTTATGCCAACCTGCTCCGACGTGCCCGATCGATTGTTTTGAGACCCCCCTCCAACATTGTTTTGAGTATTTTTTATTGGAATAAATAGCCCTATGTTCTTGTCAGGGCCCATCTGTTTACCTGCTAGGGTAAACACGATCACCCCTGAGATATCCATGCTGTGTCCTGGGTACTTCTTATTAAATGGATCACCCTATGCTCTTGTCAACCACTACGCGTCTGGGAAACCAGAGGTACGGGATTCGATTCCCCGCGGAGACCGCCCTTCCTACCAGGGTGATTTTTGTTTTGGATTAGAGTCCTTTCGACCAGACATGATCATTTCAGGGCTATGGGATGAAGGAAAATGGTTAACGATGGGACAGACGTGCATGCGCCTGGGTGGCCAGCCGCCGAGCTTTAACCCGCGCATGCGCAGGTGCCCGGCCGGGGTCCCCCTTCCCACGGGGCTCTCGGCCCACTCGTGGCTGACGCATGCAGCCCGCCCCGGACAAGCGGGGGTCGCGAAGATGCAGAATGAAGCCAGATAGAGGATACAAGGGACGGATGTACCAGGGTGAGGGGCAGGCGACGCCATACAGCCTCAGCAGCTGAGTGCGTCGTAAAGCCCCAATGACCCTGACCTATGTTCTTGTCAGGGCCCATCTATTGAACTACTCGGGCCAGTGGCGGATCTAGAGACGAGAGGGGGAGGGGGGGGGGCACGGAACTACGTCCCCTCGTGCCCCAAGGGGGACCCATAGGCTCCGTAGGGTCCCCTGACCAGCCGAACGGACGCAAGCTTCTATAGCAAAACACAACACAATTGGACGTCTTTCGGCCTCAGACGACCAATAATAGGACAGGCGAAAGTGAAGAGACCGTAAGCAGACAAAGTTAATAATTCGCTGATTAAATGGGTGGTGAATAAGGGTCTACGAATATTTACGCACAAATTGTGTGCGCTTGCATCATATATCAAAATATAAACCTTTGCTTGCATACTTTTTCCAAGCAAACGCTATCCCTGACTTGACAGTGCGCCCTAACATTTGCGTACAAGCAGTTGCTGAGGACATTTCCCATGCGAGCATATGCTCGTATGGACATTTTCGTCACGAACACTTTCCGACAAACATTCCTCCTCGCAACCCTTATCCATGCAACAGCGTGGTGCCTGGCACCGCCTCTGCTCGGCCGACCTCGGCCGACCGTGGTGCCTGGCACCGCCTCTGCTCGGCCGACCTCGGCCGACCGTGGTGCCTGGCACCGCCTCTGCTCGGCCGACCTCGGCCGACCGTGGTGCCTGGCACCGCCTCTGCTCGGCCGACCCCGGCCGACCGTGGTGCCTGGCACCGCCTCTGCTCGGCCGACCTCGACCGACCGTCCCCGCCACAGGCTATGAGAGGCGAGGTCGTGTCGTCCGTGGACCAAACAGACAGTTTAGAATGAGACGCCTGCGTGTTCAGTCTATGCATATTGTTTCATCGCAAGCTTTTGCCGTTAGACGCATTTTCCTCGTGCTTTAATCTGGCGAACGTGAGGCATGCCACATTTATCCTACGAGCAATGGCCATCCGTGCTTTTGTTACACGCACTTTTATCCGTAATCCGTTCACTGCTTGGGACGGGAGAGCCTCTGCCATGCGGCATGTTGTTGGTACGCAGTGAAACTTAGCGGCTACATGTCTTATGGTGGTCAGACAGTGTCCACGCTCATACGAAGGGCAAGTTTGGGTAGGTATGCTCTGCTTTTAACACGTAATTAAGGCTATGTTTGCACGTTGCGCAGAGTGGTTCAAGACATAATGCCCGTCGACTTTAATGAATTGTCTTATTTTTTCATACATAAAGCTCCAAAAGGGTGTACAGGTTCCCGTTCGAGTCAAATTATATGCAGAGTCGATGCTGATCATTTTCAAAGTTTCAGTTGTGCGGGTGCCTGTTTTTGCAAGAGACAGAGTGCGAACGAGCGGGTAAAGGGCGTTTGCATGTGCTCAGTCGACATTTACTAAAAGACAGAACAAAAACGCACCCGGCGCTTGGCATGGCATGGCCCTTGGGAAGCACTGCTGATGGACAGGTTGGTTCGGGCCGCGTGGCAGTACTCAGCATGCTTGGGAATGTGGTAGAAAGTCGGGTGGGTGGGGTAGGAACCACGACAGCACTGTTTCTGTGCATTGCCATGAGTCTTACTATTCTTTTGTCTTCGAAAAAGCATTGCGTGTAAAAGTGTGCGAGCGGATGAAAGCCCTTTGGAAATTATTGCGGAGGCCTAAGTTCCTCATTGACTCACGAGCTGAGACCCGCCTCCAACTTTGTAAATTTAGCATTGATATCACGGGCGTGGACTGGAAAGAAATAACCCAAAATGGCTATGTGCCCCCTCCCCCTAATATAGCAGAACTTCCGTAGCCCCTGTGTCTGTGCGGGAGCCGGCTAGCCTACTACGCTGAGCGCTGATAGTAAGTTCGCTTTTTTATCAGGTTCAGTAGCACAGTGCTGCGGGGGCTGCGTTAAGCAAGGAAACCCCATAATTTGTTACGAGGCGTAAGACTGAGACCTCGAGGCTACCACGTAAGACTGAGACCTCAGCCAACCATGAACCAGGTTCACGCAGGCGGGCGTGCTGACCAGCCAGCCATGAACCAGGTTCACACATGCAGGCATGCTGCCCATGAGACTTCTTACATGTGACAGTCTGTGTCCACATCTAATGGCTTTCGAGTGGTTGTGGGCCAAACAGCTACGTTCAGGGGTGGAATAAATGTAGTTACTGGAGCGCGTTGCCACGCAGAGAAACACAGTGATTCATCAGTTGTACAGTTAAGATTGTTCCATCTAAAAAAGGAGGCATCACAGATGTATATCGCGTTCTGCACTACGGTTTGGTTATACACAATTCTAGCCGCATGCCACTTCGACGTCAAACATAGCAACGCACAAAAACGTGTCAAGAACGCAATCTGCCTGGCTCTCCACTCACGGTGACTAGGCAGACAGGTAGGGACCGAACGCTATCGGCCCTGAGCGCAGGTACGAACCGAGCGCGGCGAAGTGTAGATAGGCACGGACTGAGCGCGGCACATCTGGGAGAAATCTGCTGCATCTAGAGCAATACAATTCATTACAGCACATAACAGACTCGCCGCGCCCGCTAGTCACTCGCAAGCAATTACGCACGCACGCTCCATGACGCAATTAAACAATGACGCAGGCATCCATGACGTCATTCAAATCCTTCCATTTCATTTGCTATGCGGCGATCAAAGCCAAGAATATGCAGCTGTCGTGTCATTCACAGCTGGCGTTCGTGAGTACGATTTCCAAATATGACGGCCGTCAATTGGCTCTCGGTCAGTGTTATACGAGGAACGATGACGCAATCAAAGAATGACATAATGAGGAGCACAGCTATGAAATAGATAAATTTCGTTGACTAGAGCAGTCTTTTCCACTTAAAAGTATACCAGCAGATAAAAGTGAGCTTATTAGTCATATGTTGCGCTTGCTTCAATATCTCAAAGATGAACATTCCCTTTAAGGTTGGCACGTCATCATCATGGTCGTGGCTAATTTCTACCCATTCTGGCCATACTCATCTGCCACAAACATTCCCTTTAAGGTTGGCACGTCATCATCATGGTCGTGGCTAATTTCTACCCATTCTGGCCATACTCATCTGCCACAAACATTTCGTTGGTTACCGGAACGAATACAGCCAGATGTCCCCACCCCCCCCCCCCCCACGGCTATTGCAAATAAGTCTCGTGTGCACGTCTTCACTTTCAGACCATTTCATTCCAATGGTTTGCAGCATTGACTCCCGAAGCAGATCATAATGTCCGTCGTGACATTCTACGTAGTCGGCCCGCTGATCATGAAACACTCCGCTAACGGATTTTAATTATCTGTACGAATATTTCCATGTTTCAGTTTCCCCTTAGCCAGGG